CATCAAAGAAAAAAAAAAAAAAAAAAAAAAAAAAAAAAAAAAAAAAAAAGAGCATCAACAATAAGTGCAGCAAAGTTCTTCTGAAATAAAGGAAATCTTGAAAAAGTGCACAGAGCCACAACATCTGTAGAGAAGACCCACACAGATCTACCTGCTTATTGACAATGTTATGTCATACTACAGAACAGTGTTAAAGAAAAGGTAGAAACAGACCTTAGACCAGTTTTTAGTTCTGAAAAAGTTGAGACCTAGGGAGCCAGATTCCTGATGTTCTTATGGAAGGGGACTCTCCTTCCAAACAATAACCACTTTCCATTTCATCCTCCCTTCCTGCAAGCCAAACATGTCAACTTGAATGGTGAGTACAGTATGAAATTGTTTCTGATAAACTAGGCACATTTTATAACTTTTTGGTGAATACACTAGGAAAATTGGTGTCTCTGATAAATTACACACATTATACAACTTATGAAAAGGTTAAGGGTTGCTTTGAGAGGTTCAGAACACATTATGGGCATTTCCATTATGTCTTCTGGGAATAGTCTTGACTTACAACCAACCTGAATTACAACCAGCCCTGGTGAACAAGTTGAGTTTGTAAGTCAAGGGTCTACTGTATTAAAGGTATCAAGATAAGTGCTCTGCAGTGAATGTGGGCCAATTAAGTAGGAAAAGAAGCACTTTCTGCATTCAGAGTGGGCCACTAAGAAGGCAGTGCCCCAAGGCAAATGGCTCCCGTCTTTTGTACCCCCATTCTGACACCAGATCTAGGTAGTCCTGTCCAAACCCTGCTTGATCTTGTGCCAGAAGAGCTTAAACATATCATTCTGATTGCTATGAGGTTCAGGGCTTAGAAGCTGTATTGCATATGTCCTGAATCTCCACAATAGGGTCCTTGCCTGGGCATTACCATGCCCTAATCCCCTGCCTCAATGTGTTTAAATCCCTTGATTCCAAGTGTAATTTTGTAAGGGGAGGAGCTAAGAAGTCAGGGATATGCACACACCCTCCAAGTCACACCTGACGGCATATATATGTATATATAAAAATCATGAGGACAAATGGGTAATATATTCCACAGGAAAGCATTTAGAAAAATGTTTTGTAAATGGACACCTAGATATAGTTGGAAAATATGACTAATAAAATACTAGTTACTGGATTTTGATATCTGCTTTTGGCAGGTCTCTTTTCCAATTTTGAGTTTCTTAGGTGAAGAGTCTAAATTCTGTCTTATGTGCACCTGTCTTGCAAGCACAAGGTCGTGAGTGTGAACCCTGGTACCTCAATAAATAAATAATCTCCAAGTCTCCTGGGGCTCCTATTGATCTCATTCAGGACTTTTTACTGAGCAAAACAAATCCTCCAGCATTTTAAAGATCAGAAGGAGGGGTAGTCCAAACTAGCTGATAATGGCACTCCCTCCACCTTGAAGAGGGTAGAACTGTTTTCTCAGAACGTCCTCCACCAAAGCCCAGGTGGAAAGAGAACTGGCGAAAATGCCTACAGGAATCCATACCCACTTAAGGAGAAAAGATCACCATACTATTCCTGGCTTTTGTTTTGTTTTTTCTTTCCTTTGCTGTACTGTGGAGTGAACCTAAAGCCCTGGCACTGAGCTGCATCCCCAGCCCTGACTTTTTTCCTAAATCACTAAGCTTCCCCAGGTGGGGCCCTGATTTGTGATCCTCCTACTCCAGCCTCCCAGTGCTGGGATTAGACAGGTATCACCACACCTGCCCTACCACCTTCTTTAAAAGCCATGCCAGTGCCAGGCATTTAGCTCAGTGGTTCTGCCGCCTGCCTTGCAAGCCCAAGGACCTGAGTTCGATCCCTGATACAAAAAAAAAAAAAAAAAAGAAAGAAAAAAGCCAGACCATATTACATTCCAGAGTCATGACAATGGCTGTCAGATTTGTGCAGCTCAAAGGGCCTGACAGTATAATTTGGACACCAAAGATTTAGGGTAATAAATACTATGTCTTTCTCAGCTGACTGAGCTGTTTAGAACCCATCACTGGGAGGCTTAGTGGCATGTGCAGGTGGTCCCATCACCCAAATCACCATCACCTGTACAGGCATCAGAGTCCTTGCAGCAAGGAACAGCAGAGGGAAGGAATACAATGCAACAACAGATATATCCAGGCTGTTTCCATCCCTTCCTGAACCCAACCTTTCCCTTGTTTGTGGAAATGAAAATGGACTTTAATCTCCTGGTGCCAGCGTCTGCACATTCTGTGTGTTCCTCTAGGCCAAGGAAGCTGTGGGTAGCAGTTTATGCCCTAGATGTGAGTTTGGAGATGCCACTTGTCACTAAAGGAGAAAACAATTTCACTTTAAAGCTCCATTTTTCATGTAGGCTACAGCAGCTGCCCCAGAGGCTTGCATGGGAGGACCGTCTGAGCCCAGGAGTTTGAAACCAGCCTGGACTGCATAAAAAGACCCTGTCCAAAAAACAGGTACTGGATCAAAGAATCTTAGAACTAGAAAGGAGTAAGAAATCACATGATATATACAGTTAAAGAAATAAGAGGCCATCAGGATAGAGAACAAACTCCTGGACCTTTAACCTGTTACTCTTTAAAACCAGGACTTTTCTTCAGGGGCAGTCAGGGACATAAAAAAGCTGTTTTTGCTTAAAACAAAAAAACACCACCAACAAAACAGTGAACTTTTTACTTGGGCCTACAGACGCCCAACAGACAACTAGATAAGACTGTCCCAAGCAGAAATAATCACCTGAGACTGGATGAAATGACAAGAACTTCTTGAGCCATCTTGCAAAACCAAAACTGAGTTAATGATCAACCAGTGCTCAGCCCACAGCTGGTGAGACTGGCTGGGCTAAGGAGTGCTGGGCTTGGCAGAGGATTTCCCACCCTTACTGTTAGGCAGATAGGCAGATATTAGCAGGCCTGAGAGTTAAAGGGGTCCCAAAATAGCATGCATTGCCAGTTTGAGATTTCAACATAAAACATTTATAACTTATAATCATTTGTTAGGTCTCAGACCTAAAGCGACCCCACAAAGCACACTGACATAAGGTTCTATGTTGTGCCCATTCCTTTGTACATCTGGCCACTTGGCCATCTATTTCTATGAGGCAAACAGCATTCCTAGGGTTTGTGTTAAATACTCAGAGAGAAGGCCTGGGGATTTAGCTCAGTGGCAGTGCACCTGCCTTGCAAGTGCAAGGTCCTGAGTTCAATCCCCAGTACCAAAAAACAAAATAAAACAACAAAACTCAGAGAGAGCACTTAGAAAGCAGAGTTAATCCCTTCCTTTTACCGAGTTCAAGTTCAGCAAACTATAAAGATACTTGGCACCACCAAGTGGCTGTGTTAGGGTCTTATGTATAAATCCCAATTTTGTAAATTTTTTTTTTGGTACCAGGGATCGAATTTAGATCCTTGCACTTGTGAGGCAGGGGGTGGAACCTCTGAGGTAAATCCCCAGCCCCCAACTTTGTAAATTCTTGATTACAAAATCAATCAAGACTCAAACTGCAAGGGCTGAGGATTTAGCTCAGTGGACCCTAGTTCCATTCCCAGTACCCAAAAAAAAAAAAGAGACTCAAGCTGCAAATCAAACCTAAAGCAGTTTCATTAAGGCATCTACTTGTTAAAAGTTCAGATAATTTTAATTTTGTTTTTCTGGCCTCCTGTCGCCTTAAAAAATGACTAAATTAAAATAGTTTAGGGGAACTGGGATTTAGCTCAGTGGTTCCACTGCCTGCCTCACAAGGACAAGGTCCGGAGTTCAAACCCCGGTACCAAAAAAAAAAAAGATTAAAAACAATGAATTTTTTAAAATTCTCACTTCTCTGAGTACATACATTTGCTTTTGTTTTGTTTTTGGTGGGTGGGGGTCAGTTTTTTGAGACAGGGTCTCACTATGTAGAGACTGACCTGGAACTCATTATGTAGCCCAGGATGGTCTCTTAACTCACAGTGATCCTCCTGCCTCAGCTTCCAGAGTGCTGGGATTATAGGTGTACACCACCACGCCCGGCTCACACAGTGGTTTTAAAACAAAACTACACAGAAGAATTCTTTAAAGTTTGGATATTTAAGGAACACAGACCAAAGCTAATTCACAATTTTCCTTTTTTTTCCCCCTTCACCAGCACTGTAGTTGGAACCCAGGGATGCTCTATTACTGAGGCTATTTTATTTATTTTGAGACACTCTTGCTATGTAGTCCAGGCTAGCCTCAAACTCACAAATTCCTTCCTTCAGTCTCCGAAATGCTGGAATTACATGTGTGTACCACCACATCCAGCCCTCCCAGTCCTCTTTTGAATTTGTTTTTAAACAAAATTATGCTAAATTGACAAGGCTGCCCTCAAACTTTTTTTTTTTTTTGGTACTGGGGATCAAACTGAGGACCTTGTGCTTGTAAGGCAAAGGGAGGCAGCACTGAGCTAAATCCCTGGCCCTGGCCTCAAATTTTTCATCCTCTTTCCTTAGTCCCCAGGGTAGATGGGATTACAAGCAAATGCCACCATGCGCAGTTAATTTTCTACTTCTGAAAGTCACGCTTTAAAATTTTCTGTTCTAAAACTTTCCATTTGTCAAAAGATACTAGAAAAATGCAATTATTTTATCTTCTCAAGAAGAAAAAAAGCAGCTCTTCATAGGTCTTTCTCTTTTTTTTAGTGTTTTAAATGTCAATGATCACAAAAACTTCTGGTTTCTCTTCATTATAGACTTGCATTGCTGAATATGTTATTGCTTTGACTTCTGTTCCCTAAAGTGAGGTTAGAGGAAAAAACACATAAGACATTAGAATCAGAATCATGAACTCTAGCAACAAATGGCAGAAATAAAAATTGTAGTATTATTGTGAAAAAAGAAAGACTACATGAATCAATTAAGTTATCAAATTAATCCAGTATTATATGCTGATTCCATAAAAGTGGAGGAAGCCTAGGTAAAGCAGAAAGACTGCTGAACTGGAGTTAGGAGATAAAACTCTAACCAGGCTCTGGTTTGGCCCAGGCAGGGAAGCTGTCTGGGCATCAGTGTTTCATTTATGAAGTGGGTTGCATCAAAGAACACAGACTTCGCCCTTTTGTCTCTCTCAGACAGAGGCTATCTTTCTCTCAATGAATTTTTCTACTCTGGCTCAGGGCTCGCTCCTCTTACTCCTGCACACTCCCTCTCACTCTGACCTGGCTCCTAGGAACGTGGCCTGTTCTCTTCTCCTCGGCTCTCAATGTGTAATTCACCTCTCAGGATTCTTCTCCTTATACCGTTAGCTGAAGAGTGAAACATAGCTTCCCAAGTTAAAGCTTTTCACATGATTCCGATACTCGACATTCCCCACCCAGGCCCCAATTTAGATCCACAGGATCAAATGTTCTCTTAAATTCCTTCTAGCTCTAAAAAGAATCTATAATAATCCTGTGTACTAGACCTTGGGGTGTGGCACTGCCTTTGCTTTTTCCCCTCTGCCATAATCACCTGGCAAAATCACAACCTAAATAAAATTTCACTTTCTGCCTATGGTCTCACATATGCTGACTGGCATTTCTTTTTCTCTCTTTTCATACAATTACTTCACATCTTCTCCTCTAGCATCTCTGTCTCATTTTTTGAGACAAGGAAATACTGTATAGCTGGGGCTGGCCTTGAACTTGCTATGTAGCCTGCACTGGCCTGGAACTCACAAGTCTTTTGCCTTAGCCTCCTGAGTGCTAGATTACAGGCATGCACCTCCATGACTGGCTCTATTACTTTACTATTCTCTCTCGCTTACACTTCCTGCTTGGCAATCTTGTATAGTTCTATGGCTATATGAGTCCCAAACGGATATTTCCAAATACTACTGTGGAAGTCATCCTGTAGCCAAGAGCCTATTATCTAATGTTGAGCTAGATGTCTAAGAAGCAGCTCAACAAAACATGTTCAAAAGCTTGCTCTTCCCCTAAGATCCCCTCTAGAGTATGGAACACTACTCCCTCAGGTCCAGACCTAGGTGATACTCTTGATTCCTTACACACAGTAAGTAGGATCTAACTTCAAAATAAATCTTAAGCCTAACTGCTTCTTAGTGCCTCTACCACCGAAACCTAGTCCAACTCATCACTCACTCACCTCTCAAATGCACGCATGCATGTACTCATTCATTCAAGACAAGGTCTCAGCGGTGATGTTCCTGCCTCAGCCTCCCGAGTGCTGGGATTACAGAGGAGATGAGATTACAAACATATGCCTGTCTCAACACACTAGGCCTCCTCAGTGGTTTCTCTGCTTCCATTCTCATCTCTTCATGATCTATTCTTTGCCATTTAAAAACTCAAATCGAGCCTAGCATAACGCCAGCACTTGGGAAGCTAAGGCAGGAAGATCTTGAGTTCCAGCACAGATTGGGCTATAGAACAAAACCCTCCCTCAAAACGAAATGATTACCTCAGATAACTCCTACAGTTAAAATACCGCTATGGCCTCCCCTCACACAAGAGTAAGATCTGCATGCCCTACCACAGTGGGCTGCAGCCCCGTCTGTACAACCCTGACTCCAGCCACACTGTCCTGGGTGCTCCCTGAACATAATCCATCTCCCCTTCGTGCACTTCTGTCTGAAAAGTTCTCCTCCACTATTCTGCTCATTCTCATCTCTCGGGCCTCCAGGCCACCATTCAAAAGTCACTTCCGCAGACACGTCTTTTCTGACCACTCTTTCCCAAACCCAACTTTTATTTTATGTATTTATTCATTCACTTTTGCAGTACTGGTGATGAACCCAGCACCTTCCTACTGAGCTATAGCCCTAGTAACACCCACCTCCCTGCCCCACTTTGTGACACAAAACATTGCCCAGGCTAGGCTTAAACCTGCAATCCTCCTACATTAGTCTCCCAGAGCTCTGGGATTACAGGTGTGTGCCATTGTATCCAGCTCTAGCCGTTCTTTTTTTTTTTTGGTTTTTTGAGACAGGGTCTCACTATGTAGTTGAGACTGACCTGGAACTCACTAAGTAGGCCAGGCCAGTCTCGAACTCACAGCGATCCTCCTGCCTCAGCCTCCCAAGTGCTGGGATTACAGGCGTGCACCACCACACCTGGCTAGCCATTCTTACCTAGCCCTGATGGCACTACTGTATTTACTAGCTAAAATTATAACATTTACTTGTTTACATGTTTGGCTCTCTCCTCTCCCTAGATTTGAAGTTCAGTGAGAGTAATGATCTCAATTTGTCTGTTATCTCTACTGAATATGCCTAAAATAATGTCTAGGTAAGAATTTGTTAAATGTATACATGAAATAATGGTCAGGATATGGATTAGCGGAGAGAAGATAAGGGCAATATTTATTTATGTTTGTTTGTTTGTTTATTGGTACTGGGGATTGAACTTGGGTCCTTGCACTTGTGACGCAGGCAGCAGAACCACTGGGCTAAATCCCTGGCCCAGATAAGGGCAGTATTAAAGCCTGGAAGATATTTTTAAACTAGGAAATATTCCAGATACCAGACTTTTTTAAAACTTCATCATTTATTCAAAAAATAAGAAGTAGCCAGGTGTGGTGCCGTACACATATAACCTCAGCACTTTAGGAGGCTATGTGACGGGGATCATGAGTCTAAACCCAGCTTGGACAACTAACAAGTTAGCAAGATTCCAGTCTCAAATAAAAAATAAAAAAGGGCTGGGGACGTAGCTCAGAGCAAAGACCTTGAGTTCAATCCCCAGTACTAGAAAAATAAGATTATCATATTGGGAGAGCCAGGCACAGTGGAGCACAACTGTAATCCCATTACTCAAGAGGCTGAGGCAGGATAACCAGTGTGGACTACAGAGGAAGACCCTGTCAGAAAATAATAATAACAAATGTGGTGACAGTTGAAAATGATATGAAATTCAAATTTCAATGCCCATAAGTAAAGTTCTAGTGAAACACAACCATACTAATTTATGTATTGTCTGAGGCTGCTGAAGTAATTGTTCTTCCAATGCTCTTGGCTCACAAATCTTAAAACATTTACTATTTGGCCTCTTTCAGAAAAACTTTGCCAACCCTGTTCTAACGGATTTAATTATTACAGAGTAAGCCCATATAGGTTCACAAATACAGAATCTAGAGAAGCACAGGAGGTAGAAGGTACTTTAGAGAATGTCTCATCCAACATCATACTATAGAAGAAACCAAGGCTCAAAAAGTCAAAGGGATTTTTCAGTCACACAGTAATGCATAACAAACCTGGCCCTAGAGCACAGTGTTGACTCCTGCTCACCAAACCAGACTTATGAAATCATAGCATTTTAATGCATCTATAGTCAAGTCAGAGAAGTTTAAGAAAAACTTATGTCTTCACTCTAATTATCAGAACTAGTAAAAGTGCAGTCACATACACAGGCTCTATGGTAAGGAAGCACAAAAGGGCTAGACTTTAACACATACCTGAGGATGCTTGGAAAGTGAAAATTCTTCTCCCCACCTTGAGAAGAAAAATTAAGAGGATTAATATTTCCAAAATGTTGTATTTTCTCTCTACATATTTTAAAACAGCCTTAGGAATGTGTTGCAGTTGCTACAAAGCCAAAAAGAGATGGAAAGCATAGGAGACCTTGAAGATTGCAAGGCTTGTCAGCAGACACTGGTCTGAGGGAGACTTAGGCTCAACACCCATCAGTTGCTCCCAAGGTGGACAGCTGCTCACTCAAGAACAAGTACCCAATATGATGATCTTCTGGTGGATTTCCAGTAAACACTACTGAATGAGTATGACTTCATGGTAACAGGGACCAGGTTCAAAACATTCACCACGCCCAAGGTATAGAACCAATTCAGCAAGCTCTTCCATGAAGAAAGCAGACTGAGTAGCACAACACAAAGTACTACATTCTTCCAACATGGTTTGAGGTTGGTTTGTATTTTGTAGCTTTTCCCAAAATGTCCACAGCTTACATGCAGAAAGCCCTGGAACTTGTTCTCTTCTACAACCTGGAGAAAATTCTTCTCTCTCTCTTTGACACTAATGTATCAAATGACCATCAAAACACAGGAGAAAGAATAGGGAATTACAAAGTCTAGCTCCACATGCATAATTTAGCAATATAGTGAGATGCTGTCTTAAAATTTAAAAAAATTCTGGGAGGTAGTTCAGCATAAAGGCCCTAGGTTCAGTCCCCTTACTGAAAAAAAAAAAACAAAAAAAAAACAAAAAACGAAACAACAAAGTTTTCCACTACTGTTCAATCATTTTTAGGTAAGTACCTCTAGAAAAGTCTATTTCTTCACCTAATTAAATTTTTTAAGGAAAAAAAGCCAGGTATGGTAACACCTCAGGAGGCTGAAGCAGGAGGATGAGTGCAAGTCAGAGGTCAGCCTAGGCTAGTGAGTTCAAGGCAACTGTGCAGCGAGCCTCTGTCTCAAAAAAAAAAGTAAATAAATAAAACCTAAAATGTATAATTAAGTGATTGAAGACACAAGTGTAGTCAAAGTGACCTAAAAAAGTATTTTTAACACTGGAAGGAAAGGAAAGGTATAATTTGTATAGAAGTAATTGGTTTGAGCTCAGCTAGAAATGAGAATCTATGAGAAAAGATGAGTGAGTCAGTTTTTCTCCATCAAACTGAGCTTTGTGTTATACCATTTAGCAATTACATAGCTGTATTTCTTCTTCTTCCTCCTTAAAATCAACAAGTTGGGAATCAGGCTCTGTGTGTGTGTGTGTGCGTGTGTGCGTGCGTGCGTGCGTGCGTGCGTGTGTGTGTGTGGATTGAACCCAGGGTTCTCACTAAGCTATACCCCAGCCATGTTTTTATTTTTTATTTTGAGACTGAGTCTTGCTAAGTCACTAAGTTGCCCAGGGCTGGAACTTTTGATCCTGCTGTCTCAGCCTCCCAGACAGCTGGGTTTACAGGCATGCAACAAGACGACTGTGGGAATTGGTTTTAACAATCAGAGCCAACCTTGTCTTGACAAGGGTCAGGTCCTCCAAAGCCCAGGTGACCCTTATACCTAGGCAGCTCACAAAGCTCAATCTGCACGGCCTGGCCAAATGTAAGTGGTCCTCTGACATCATAAATGTTAACTGTCTTTCTACACAGAATTCAATGAGCAATACAACTTTAAAATTTTTCATGACTTGCTACTTGAAGAGTTTTAACTTACCCAATGGAACGTAATTTGAAATTTCTTTGATCAATATTAAGTACTTTTACTTCCTAAAGAGGAAAAAGAAGTTTTCATTTTAAAATATACTCATATTAAACCACTTACTAAAGCACAACTAGGTTGCTACTTTTCCTAGAAAACAGCATGCAATTTCTCTGAAGCAAAGAAAATTTAAATATTAATTAAAACAGAACAAGCTAAATATATTTCAAGGACATTTCTTATATATTCAAGGGAAGTAGTCATGAAAAAATATACAATATAGCCAGATATGATGGCACACAACTATTATCCCAGTACTAGTGACACTGAGGCAGGATGAGCTCAAGTTATAAAGTTATGTAGTTACAGAGTTGTATAGTTATATAAAGTTACCAAGTTATACAGCAAGTTCAAGGCCACCTTGTATTACATAGCCAGGCTCTCTCTTTTTTTTTTTTTTTTTTTTGGTACTGGGGATTGAACTCAGGACTTTGTGCTTGTAATACAGGCGGCAGAACCACTGAGCTAAATCCCCGGCCCCCTGTTTATTCTTTGAGACAGGGTCTTGCTATATATGCTAAGCTGGCCTTGAACTCACTATGTTGTCCAGGCTGGCCTCGAACATACAGTGATACTCCTGCTTCAGCCTCCTGAGTGCTGTGATTACAGGTATGTGCCACCACACCTGGTGAGACCCTGTTTTAAAATTAGAAAAAAAGAAAAAACTGAGAGAGGCAGAAAAATATACAATCTGAAAACATCAGGGCCAGGGATTTAGCTCAACGGTTCCGCTGCCAGACTTGCAAGCACAAGGACCCAAGTTTGATACCCAGTACCAAAAAAGTAAAATAAATAGAAAATAAATGAAAACATGAGACAAGGGACTAGGAGAAGAGCGTGCACAAGGGACTGGGTTCAGTACTCAGCAGTGGGGCTGGGGGAGTGATCAAAAGATATGTAGCAGAGGATATAAAATTTCAATCATGCTCAGCCTTTTTTTTTGTTTTTTTAAACAGGTTCTCCCTGTAGTTCAGGCTGGTCTTGAATTCACTATGGAGTCCAGGCAGGGCTCAAATTCACAGTGCTCCTCCTGTCTCGGCCTCCCAAGTGCTGGGATTACAGGTGTGCACTAGCACGCATGCTATCAGCCTATTTTTGTGATACTTCAGGCATGTGAGCTCTTGGATGAGTGACTTGGCAGTCTGTAGTAGAGCTGGTAAAAGACCGGAGGAATGAAGGAAGCAGGGAAGGCCCAGATGTGTCAGACAACATTGGGGAGGCGTGGTGTTCCCTCCAGAGGTTGACAGCAGCAAGCGATCTTCATCTGGCTTTCCCTTTTCTTGCATTAAGGAAAACTAAAAGTATAATTGTTGAACTTAGGCCAAAGAGCTGCCAAAATTCAAATGGAGCCAAAGGATGGACATAAACACAGCTTAAACATGGGGAGACATAAAGTATGGATGAAGCAGGGGATGGAGTATACATATCAGCAATCCCAGGGGAGGCCAGAGCGAGAGGAATGCAAGTTCAAGTCCTGCCTGGGCAACTGTGCAGCACTCTGTCTCAAAATGAAAGACAGAAAGGGCTGGAATGAGGCTGTGGATTTAGTTCTGCCTGGCAAGTGCAAGGTCCTGAGTTTGATTCCCGGTACAAAAGTGGGGGGTGCTGGAATTCGTTCAATAGCACGGCACCTGTTTGATACCCAGTACCAAAAAAAAAAAAAAAAAAAAGATGAAGACTATAGATACATTTCCAGACACACACACACACGCAAGCACGCACGCATGCACGCACACACACTCACATCGGCTTTGAGATAGGGTCTTGCTGTCACTATGTAGCCAGGCTGAGTTCAACCTTAGGATCCTCCTGCCTCAACGTCCCAGTGCTTCGGTAAGGGGCGTGTGCCACCACACCCAGCTGGTAGGTCCATACTTATCACATAATCCCCATTAGTGACACTGTCAGAGGTCTAAGTACAAAATGCATACACACAGGCAATCTCAAATTAACCAAAAGTGCCTACAATGTACTACAAATCATTCTCATACTACATACACATCTGTATGGATTGATTTGCCGTTACATGCTCTAGTTTAAATCATCTGTTCAACTATTTTTTTTCCAAAAAAGGTTAAGAATAGGGAAATTTATTGGAGAATAGGAATAGCTCCCAAAAGACAAGAGGGGTCCCAAATGGGTTGCCCTCAACTTTGTTTGTTGAGACAGGGTCTCGCTATGTAGTTCAGGCCCGGTTTGAATTATGCAGCCCAGGCTGGCCTCGAACTTGAGGCAATCCTCCTGCTTGGTCTCCGGGGTACTGGGATTACAGGCAGGCACCACCACACCTGGCCTCAACTTTAAAATATGAATGAATTTATGCTCAGTGAAAAGAAAAACTGTTGCTTACCCGGGGTATGAAGAATTCATCGGCACTGAACTTATAAAGCCATTCATCCAAAAAGTGGAACAGAAGAGACTGCAAGTCATCTCCTACACAGGATTAAAGAGAGCCATAATAGTATGCTGTTTGATAACCCTGGTCTCTAAAACCATGTTTCAATTTACAAGTACAGTGAATTTCTTAGGCTAGTTGAAAATGGAAAAATTGGTTCATAATCGTGTTCTTACTGTAAAAATACACCTAAGATCTGTATGACTTTTTCCCTGTGAATAAATCAGTTACCTTGCGCTTCTACTTCTACTGTCCAGAGGGGCTCCACAGTCCCCGTGTCTGTCATGTATGCGAACATGGCCATGGCACACTGCTCGAATGCCTCCTCCAGAGTCTCTCCCCATGCGTGTAGCCTTGAAGAAACACACGTGCGCTTTATGTAATATAATCCATAGCAAGAGAGAAAACTTGACAGCAAAGTTCAAATAAAATCAGCTTGATAAATACAAAACTAAAGATTATTGTGTGTGTGTGTGTGTGTGTGTGTGTGTGTGTGTGTGTGGTAGCGAGGGTTGGATTCCAGGGCCTTCACACTGAGCTATATGACCACCCCTTTTCAAATTACTGTACTTGAGAGAGCATTTTGCTACATCATCCAGACTAGCCTCCAACTTTCAATCCTCTTGCCTCAGCCTCCCAAAATACTGGGACCATAGGTATGTACCACCACACCTCACTGGAAACTAGAAGCTTTTAAACTATCATTTTCTTGTTCAAAACAGAAGGAACCACAATAAAAGTAGAAAAATTAAAAATTAAAACTAGGACACCCAGATTAAAATACTCAGCCTTCCTATTTAATGACAGCTTCAAAGGAATAAAGTCTAGCTATACTCACTGGACATCTGCTGTATGATCCAAATCTAAGGGAGAGAGGAAAAAACGTCAGTTATTAAACTTAATTCTCAGAAACCCAAGAAAATGACTCTAGTTCATTATTATTCATTATTAAGAACATTATCCTTAAAGAACAAGAAAATGTGAGGCAGTCTAGACCTCCTACTGTCTACCGCACAAAGTTAACTGCTGTTAAGGGTTGGCTTCTTTTGTTGTTTGGGTATTTTGGTTTTTGTTTTATTTTTTGAGACAGGGTCTCACTATGTAGCTTATGCTAGCCTCAAACTTGCTATGTAGCCTAGGGAACTCCAACTTGTGGCCCTACTGCCTCAGCCTAAGCTTGCTGAGGCCACCATACCTGGCATAGGCCACCATACTTGGCTAATCATCTTTTCTTAATGCCAAGGCTTGCATTTAAATGAATGTCAGTTTCTGGAAGGCAGCAAGGCCTGGGCCTTTTAGGTGTAAAGTCTCTAAGCTGAGTGTGGTAGCACAAACTTGTAGTTCCAACTACTACTGAGGGGCTCACTTGAGTTCAGGAATTCAGGCCAGTCTGAACAACATAGAGGATCCTTTTTTTTTTTTCCCCAAAGGTACTAGGGATTGAACCAGGGGCTTCATACAAAGATACATTGCTGAGAGCGCTGTGCTATATAGATCACTATGGCCAGGTCTAACTCGCCTCCTCCCTTGGATGAGGCAGGGTCCTGCATAGAACCAAGCATCTTGTTCCCTTCCTCCAGTGGAGGAGGCAGGGCCACATGGGAGAACAAGCAACCAGAGGGCATGGTGGAGCAAGGCCTGGACCAGAAGAGGACGTGTCTTCCAACCTGCCCTTCGCCGTCAAACTGTCAATCATAAGGTCCTGCAGTCCCTAGCTGCTCTCCCTGTTCCAGTCCCCGGCACCCCCTCTTACCTCCCCCCTGCCCCCTGCACTATAAATAAACACGCTGCAGTTGTCTGGCAGTCTTTTTCTCTCAGCACCTGGCCTCAGCCTTGCCTCTCTGTTCTGTCCCCTGCCACCGTTCTCCCTCCTCCCCTCCTCCCCTCCTCGGACCCTCTAGCTGTGCAGGCCATGGCAATACATCCCCAACCTTTGTTTTAGTTTTTGATTTTGAAAGTTACCGAGTTACCCAGGCTGGGCTTGAATTTCTTCTCATCCTCCTGCCTGGCCTCTTAAGAGTGCCGATGTTGTAGGCACATAAAATAGTTTTAGAAAATAAACTCCACAATAAATATTTAGCATTTTCCTAATCTAACACGCAGATAAAACATCACCATTTTCAGAGTCTGTTCTTCACTTGTACCATGACTTCCACCAATTCTTTCCATTTTAACACACAGGACAAGAGTGAGAAGGAATTCTTGGAGATTTAACATAGTTCTTAGTATACAAAAAGGATCTTGAAATGGAGACTGTTGCTTTTTCAAGACTACACTGTTGTTTACAGGTAGAGCTGGGAATTGGAATAGAGGGTTTCTTTGCTCCCGTGTTAGCACACTTTGCTCCATAGCACATCGTCTTTTGGTGGCACTCAAAGTACAAATTCAAAATATTACTGAGGATTTAGTAAGTTTCAGGCACCAAAGGGCTCAATGACCAGCAAAGATGATAAAGAAAATGATAGGTATTAACTCTATGAAGAAATGAAAACATGTGACCACAAATACACATGTAAGAATGTTCACAACTATTTTATTCACAAGAATTATAAATGCAATGAACATCAACAAGAGATACATAAGTATAATCTTACAGTGGAAGATTCCTCAGCAATAAAGAAGCATGAACTTCTGTGTGTGCATTAACATGAATCTCAATACATTATGCCGAGCGAGAGCTGTAGAACTCTTAGCACGAAACTGCAACCAAACCCCAGCTCCTGACCAAACTAACATGGTTTCTAATAAGGCTGCATCCCTAGGATGGCCTGGGGATGTGGGTGGTGGGGGGTCAGCAAGAGCAAGAGAATTTACAGCTCTAGATGTTCAACATCTCACTTCCCTTACTTAAGATAAGCAAGTTCTAAGAAGGGCTTATAATTTTGAATACAGTGCATATCTCTCATAACTCAGAAGTATCTTTCTCAAGGACTTGAGAAACATTCCTTTGAAATGTAATCATCTGGAAGCAACAGGCCTCTGTCTCCCAGTCTGTGGGAAGACAGAATATTATCTTCCCTAACTGGAGCCAGCAGACATAACTGTCCTCACTACATCCACAGTGACCACCTTTCAGACTTTTGTCACTTCTGACTTCTGAGCCCTCACTTTCCCCTCCCTCATTCTTCCTATAAAATACCCAATCATCTCCATCTCCATACAAACTAGAATGTAGCTTAGCTTGTTCTCCTATTGCCAGTAGTTACTGGGAAAAAAAACTGACCTGTTTCAATTAGTGTCCAGCTGTATTATCTGACATAAGTGAAGCCAGAAATAAAGGAACCTACGCGTGTGACTGCATTTATATGAAACTCTAAAATGGAAAAAATATAGTTTTTTTAACTATAGTTTCCTCTCGCCCCTCTCCAGTTCCCAGGGGCTAACTGGAAAGGGGCCAGAGAAAACATTCTAGGGTGACAGAAGTGTCCTATACCTTGACCAGAGAGTATCTGTTTAGCAAAACCCACTGGATGCTAACAATTTAAGAGCTAAGCACTTTACCCACATATGGTATATAAATTATACTTCAATCTATTTTTTATACTGGGGATTGAACCTAGGGCTTTTGTACTAAGCTATATCCCCAGCTCTTTTTCATTTTTTATCTTGAGATAGGAACTTGCTAAATTATCCAGACTGTGCTTGCTTTGGCCACACATATACCAAGGTGGCCAGGCTGGGCTCAAACTTGCAATCCTCTTGCTTTGGCCTCCTAGAGTGCTGAAATTACAGGCCTGTGCCACTAGGCATGGCTTATACTTCAGTGTTTTAAAAATCAGTTTAATCCTGGGATGGTGGTACATTTCTGTAATCCTAGGTACTTGGCAGGCTGAGGCAGAGGATTACAAGTTAAAGACTAGCTTGGGCAACTTGCTAAGACTGTCTGAAAATTTTAAAAAGATCTGGGAGTGTAGCTCCGTGGTAAAGTTCTTGTCTACTATGCACAAGGCCTTGGGCTGAATCTCTAGCACTGAAAGAATGAGTTTAAAAAGGCAATGACATATTGATATAGGGCAGTTCTTAAATTTTTCATCTCAGGGTTGAGGTAGGAATATCACCCCAAGTTCAGGACTAGCCTGAAGTACACAGCAAGTTTAAAAAAACAAAAAAAAATTTTTGTATTTTACATCTCAGGAACTCTTTATTCTCTTAAAGTATTGAGAACCTCAACAAGCTTTTGTTAATATGGGTTTTGTCAATATTAACTATATGTATTAGATTGTAACTATAACTTAAAATGCTTAATTCACTTGAAAACAATAAACCTATCTTCATATATATTATTTATTTATTTGTGGTACTGGTGATTGAACTCAGAGCCTTCACACTGAGCTAAGTAACAGCCTTTTTTTCTTTTCCTTTAAAAAAATATTTTAGACAGGGTCTTGCTATAAATTGCCTAGGGTGGGCTTGAACTTGCAAACCATGTGCCTCAACTTCTCAGAATGCTGGGACTTGGACCAGGGATTTAGCTCAGCGGCACAGCGCCTGCCTTGCAAGTGCAAGTTCCTGAGTTCGATCCCACAGTACCAAAAAAAAAAAAAAAAAAAAAAAGAATGCTGGGACTACCAGAAATGTGTCACCATCCCTAGCTAATATAAATTATATTTTATGAAAATAACTATGTTGCCCAAAATTTAGAAAAGTGGCAGTGTTTGGCTTTTCCCCCCTCCTTCCCTTCCTTTTTTACTTTGTGTGTGTGCAGTACCACTGAGCTGCATTCCCAGCGCTTTAAAGTGAGCAGGACTTAATGATATACACACCTATAATCCCATCATTCTGGGAGGCTGAACTACAAGGATCAAACTCAGCCTGGGCAACTCGGCAAGACCTTGTCTCAAAAAGTAAAAAAGAGCTAGGAATATAGCTCAATACAAAGGCCCTTGTCTCAGTCCTCGGTAACACACACACACACACACACACACACACACACACAAAAGAAAATACTGCATTGCACTTTTTTTTCTTGTTTTTATTTCTTCGGTGCTAACAACAACAAAAAATCCTCCTGCCTGCATGCTCAAGATCCCGAGTTCGATCCCCAGTATCAAAAAACAAAAAAAAAAAATCCTCTTTAGTTTTCCCACTTCCTAAACCTGGTCACAATGTAACTATCCCATTCTTGAGAGATGCAAGAGACAACCTCGAAAGTTCTTCAAATAAAACTCTCAGCCAGCCGGTCGTAGGGACACACACCTGTAATCCTATGGGAGGCTGAGGCAAAGACTACGAATTCGAGCCCAGCCTGGCTGAGGGCCTGCCTGTGTGAGACACTATCTCAAAATAAAATAGTAACTGGGGATGTAGTTCAGTGTGAAGGGTCTGAGTTCAATCCAAGCACCGGGAAAAAAAAGAAGAAAGATAAAACACAGGGATTTTAAAAATTACTGCGCTGGTTAAATTCACAAAGAAAAAAATGTGATTAGGTTCATGTAGAAAAAGTTGAAGAGACTGCAAAAGTAGGAGCCCACGTTTCCTGACTCTCAAGGCAGGTGGTTTTTTCCTTCAGCATGTCCCGGGGGAAGTACAAGACTCCATAATACCCGGCGCAAACAGAGCACAACCGAATCACACCTGAAACACCTGCGGGGCAAAGTAGACCGCCAGACTGGAAACGCCAAGTAAGGAGCTGGGCATGCCCATATCTGAAGAGAGAAGTGAGCTATCTACTCACATTCGTACTTCTGAATGACTGGAGGATACTTGGCCTTGATTGCTTTCTGGTCCTCAGTTAAATTGTAATCTCTAACATCTTCCTTTTCCTGCGCCATGATTTCCAAACTGAACTAGCTACTTCCGCCCTTCATCCGCAGGACTTCGGCCTAGCTATACAACTTCCGCTCTAGGCCCGGCCCCCTCGCTCGCATCCTTAAAGGACCAGGACGAGACTCTTGGAGCTCAAGAGCGCGGCCTCTAACAATTCCAACTGGGTTGTGCTGTTTGGATCGTGTGTTTAAAAGGATAAGGTCTCATCTTCCGTGCTTGTTTATGACTCGTTTTTTCCTAGTGATTAAAGGCAACAAGTTGAAGATCACCTTGAATAACACACCTCTGGGTCTAAGGAGGCCTTTTCTTTACACCTCGTCCCAGAGTTAATAACTAGTCAGAAGCACTCCTTGAATAACACACCTCTGGGTCTAAGGAGGCCTTTTCTTTACACCTCGTCCCAGAGTTAATAACTAGACTCAGAAGCGCTTTAGATTTTTTTCATCTCAATATTGTACTCGGAGAAAGTCGTTAGCATACAGTAATAGTCCTTAAGAAAATGGCTGCCCACGGGAGTGCGAGGCCTGAACGTCTCACGTGATCGGTATGGGCAAGGTCCCATCGTTCCGAGCGCGCGCGCAATCTCTGGAAACCGGCCACGGGCGGTGTGGGAGGGAAGGGGCGGAGCGCGCGCCTAGGTCGCGCGGGAAGCAACTGTACGCATCAGGATTGGCTGAGAATGTAGTTGCCCCGCCCACTCCGCCGTTCGCTGAGCTCCGGTTGGTCAACGTTGGCGCGAAGGCGAGCGAGCCGGCCCTCACGCAGGGACCGCAGGAAACAATAGAGGCCGCGCGCGCAGATCGAGCCCCCGCAGCCGCTCGGCCCCTCCCACGTCGTTCGGCCCCAGGGTCCTCCTGGCTCTCCTGCCGCCATGGCTGACAAGGAAGGTGAGGGTGGCGGGGGCGTTCCAGGAGGGCTAGAGGTGCCGAGACTGTGTTGCGGCCTGCACACGGCCTAGTAGGGAGGCAGGCCTGGCGCGGCTGAGCGCAGCCCTAATACCGAAGGCGTGAGGAGGGAGCTCCCGACGGGATGGGCCAACGGCGCCCCAGTGGCTCTGGAGGGGATGCGCGATTCCTCGGGTGAAGCCGGGGCGGGCGGGCGTCCCCTTACCTCGCTCTGGTCAGCCCGCGACGCCCTCACCCCAGGCCCGGTGCGCGGCCCCTCGCCGGTCCTGTGGACTTTGCGTTCGGGAGCGCGCCTCGAAGGCCCAGCCCAGTAGTCCCCATGGTTAGCGGACTTCTGGCCCGCGAAGATGGACAGTGGTATTGGTGCTGTGCCTGGAGAGACGAGATAAATTCTCTCCTCTCGGAATTAGAACGAAGGAGCTGTGCTGGTGGCTTTGGAGAAATTTAACTCAGTTCCGTTTCTGTAAGCTAACTTGGCTTTGTTTTAAACAATTTTAGCGGCTTTTGACGACGCAGTGGAAGAACGTGTGATCAACGAGGAGTACAAGATATGGAAAAAGAACACGCCTTTTCTTTACGATTTGGTGATGACCCATGCTCTAGAGTGGCCCAGCCTGACTGCACAGTGGCTTCCAGATGTAACCAGGTGATGCGAATCTTGAATGTTACTTTGCTGTTTCTTCAGTGTAGATTTATAACGGTTGTAAGAGCATGAATCAAAACCTGTTAAGTGACATTTTTTCCCTTAGGCCAAAAAGACTCAAAATGTAAAATTTTTTTATAGTTTGCCTGGCAAGAGAGATTACGATGGTTTTTTTCTCTGATATAGAATTGCATAGCCATATTACAGTTGTAGTTCACCATTAATGTAAAACATGTCAGCCTCCAAAAATATTCTGAATCCAGTTCGTTTAACAAAACGTTTGAATTCCCACAGTCCTTTGCAGTAGCTAGATAATACAAAGATAAATATGAGATCTGTTTTCAAGGAGCACATTGTCTAATTGAACAGGCAGATATCAACCTAGAAATTAGTTATGTGTGATGAGTGTAATTATACAGATAATTAGAGTAATTAGGAAACACCTGAAGAGGGCTGAAGGGTTTGGGCCCTGGGTACCATCCATGGCACCAAACAAAGACACCTGAGCCTGGCATGGTGGGAAGTGCTTCTGATTGTAGCTACTCTGGAGGTCAGCTTGGATAACTTAGACCCTATCTCATAAAAAAAGATGGAGAGGGTCAAGGATTTAGCTCAGTGGTAGAGAGCTTGCCTAGCAAACCCCTAGGTTCAGTCCCCAATACAGAGGGGGAAAACAAAAATCTGTAGGTGTCATTTTGTGGTTTTCACATAAGGAAGTTGGATATAGTGAGCATGTACATTGCTTATACATAGATGGGTTACCTCTAATAGAGGGGACAGCATGTCATCTTATTGAGCTTAAATTAATATAGGCACTATTAGGCTCCACATATCAGTGTATACAATTTAATTATAATTACTACTGGCACAAAAATAATTGAAGCAAGAAAGATGTGCCTCCATATGGAGTATCAGGATTAATCCCCAGCCCTCTCCGCCCTTTTTTAGGCTGATTCTGCTGAATTTTGTATTGTGATGAGAATGGTGATACTTCAGCTCTATGGTAGACTAAACAGGAATGAGCTAAGACAGAATAAATAAAAGTAGAAAGGAAACAGGAGACTCAAAATTTAAAATTACACTTTTAAGAAGACTTCAACTTCCAGGTACAAAGTTTACATAGCAGCATTCCCAGTAGTTAAATTTTTTTTAGTACTGGGCATTGAACTCAGGACCTTATGCTTGCAAGGCAAGCAGTAGAACCACTGAGCTAAATCCCCAGCTCCTCAGTACTTAAATTTAAGCTCCTTTCCACCTAGACCCATCACACCCAAAATTCCTCAGGTGTACTAGAAGTCTATAGATTGCCTTAACTGAGAAAGTAAAAAACAAGAATTTATTCTAAGATAAAGAAATGAGTTCATAGGTTGAAAGAATCCAAAGAATATTTATATTGCCTATCTAGAAACAAAAAACTAGGGCCGAGGATTTATCTCAGTGGTTCCGCTGCCTGCCTTACAAGCACAGGATCCGAGTTTAATCTCCAGTACCCCTCCCAAAAAAAGAAAACAAAAAACTAGGTCCATACTTGTAGAACAGGTTAGTACCCTTCTAGAGGGTGAGCCACCTTTTCTCTGGGTTTTCACCTCAAGAGAAGCAGGTTTCCTGTTTCAAAAAATAAGACATCTTTCTTGAGGGCTTGCACACTATTCCTTTGAGTGTGTACCTTCCCATGTCTTTCATTTGACTAGTCCTGAAAATTCTTTTTCTGTAACAGCAGTCAGCAAACCTTTTCTCTGGGTAAAGTGAATTAGGTTCCTTATCTTAGTTTTAGAAACTTCCTCAGAAGGAAAGGCAAGGCACTATTAGGTTCCACATATCAGTGTATACAATTTAATTGTAAATTCTCCTGTCCAGTGAAAGACAGGAGAATCACCAAGTTTGAGTCTCGCCTGGCAACTTAGTGTCTTAACGAGACAGTGTATCTACAGTAACAACAAACAACCAAAAGACTTACTCATCTTTCTTGCTTCAATTATTTTTGTGCCAGTAATTATAATTAAATTGTATACACCGATATGTGGAACCTAAGAGTGCCTATATTAATTTAAACTCAATAAGATGACATGCTGTCCCCTCTATTAGAGGTAACCTATCTCCTCCCCTCTCCTCTCCGGTTTTTTTTTTTTTTTTTTGGTTTTGTTTGCATCCAGGGTCGAGCTCTGGGACATTGCATTTGTAAGGGCAGGTGGTGGCACCACTGAACTAAATCCCTGGTCCTTGGTATCTTCATTTTCAAACTGGAATTCTTCATAATGTTGGGGTTTTTATTTTTTGAGACAGGGTCTTGCTCTGTAGCCCAGGTGTGTGCCACTCTGCCTGACCATAGGGTTGCCATTGGGGGGTTTTATAAAGTGATTGAGATAGGGTCTTGCCAGGTTTCCCCAATGGGTTCAAATATGTGGTCCTCTTGCCTTGGTCTCCCAAAGTGCTAAGGTTGCATGTATGTGCTACCATGCCCATAGTTGGGGTTTTTGTTTTGTTTTTTCACTGTGTGACCACCACTGGCCTTAAACGTGTGATGATCGATGATCCTCTTGCCTCACTCAACCTCTTGAGAAATGACAGGTGTGTACCACCATGCCTAACGTTGTAAGTGGCTAACATGCTGTTGCTGTCTTTTTTGTTTGTTTGGTTTTTGGTTTTTTGAGACAGGGTCTCACTATGTAGTTGAGACTGACCTGGAACTCACTGTGTCTTAACGAGGCTGGTCTTGAACTCACAGCAATCCTCCTGCCTCAGCCTCCCGAGTGCTGGGATTACAGGCATGTGCCACCATGCCCAGCAAAATTCTGAGGTGTGTGTGGCAGTTGTTGGTTTTTTTGTTTGTTTGTTTGTTTTGTGGGTTTTTTTTTCCTCTTTTTAATATAAACATTTTTGTGTCTCATATATTATATTTTTTATATATTCCATACATTATAGGTTATATGTAATATTTCATATATATTCATACATATATGTAGCTTAGTACGTAGTATTTGTGGACATGACTAATGACATGGCTTTCTGAGGTCAAGAATCATGTCTTAATCATCTTTGCTCTGACAGCATATGGAGCAGTGTGTGTCTGAACAATTAGCATACCTAATGTTCTTTCCTTTCCTTTAGCAAAGACTGGGAATTAATTCCAGGGTCTGGCATGTGCTCTATCACTGAACTACACTGTCACCCCCTCCTAGCCCTTTGTAAAGAATACATAGCTAATCCAACTTTAATTCCATTAAATTTTTCACAGTAATTTTTGTTTTTGTGGTAGTGGTGGTATTATAAATTATACTCAGTATGTTGTGGATGCTAGGCAAGCACCTAGTCAAATGCCACCACTCCTGCCTTCCCTTGAGCTATATCCCAAGCCCTTTTATTATTTTTTATCTTTTTATAATTTTTAATAAATTTTATTTCATTTTACCCCACCCAGCTGGGTGTGGTGGTGCACACCTTTTTTTAACCCCATCTACCCCCACCCTAGTCCCCTCCCTTCCTGTTGTTTGGTAGGGGTTTTTTGTTTGTGTTTTGTTTTGGTGCCAGGGATTGAACTTGAAAGGTGGAGGCATGTTGCCACTAAGCTGAATCCCCGGCCCCTCCTTTCCTATTATTATTATTATTTTATTATTATTTTGAGACGGTCTCACTAAGTTGCCCAGGCAGAAATTCAATATTCATTCCTCCTGTCTTTATTTTTTGAGATAGGGTCTTGCTAAGTTGGCCAGCCTTGCCTCACAATT